GTCGGATTTAATTTGAAGTCTTCATACGGTATAAGACAACTAGTCAAAATAAATAATGCAAACAAAGAAAAGTAGTTAACTAACTTTATTTATTTTTATAGTTATTTTTGTTTTATGGGAGGTTAAATTATGTGTGGGTCAAAAAACTGATGAGGAAAACAGAGGAGCCCCACCATGTGCAGATATTCCCCAAGCTTTAAGCATACGCTATACAACAGTGTCAGTCCGCACCTAATTTTGTTCTCTCTCTCTCTTCTGGGTATCTGACCGAGCACGCTTGCCACCCAAACCGCCCAACAAAACCCTAACTCCTTAAATTAAGAAGCCAATCCCGCAACAGATCCAACACTTCTTCAACCCCCCAAAAACCCACCCTTTTTTTTAAGGGCCTATCAGAGCTATATACCAGAGCTACACTTTCCCTTGTAAAATACGCTTTTTTTAATTTTATATTTTAGATTTGGTTTTCTATGAATATATATTGTCAATGTTAGGTTCCAGTTTTGGGTGGCCCCAAGTTGAATGAAGTCACAATTGCTACCAATAAGTTTAGCCGTTCGGTGAGTGAGATTGGATTATACTATTTCAATTAAAATGGACAAGAGTTATGGTATTTGTTTGGTGTTATGGAATTGATCTTATTAAATTGAACAATAATCCAACATATTGTGTCTTACAAGTCCCGCTTATAAGGATTGGTTTATACTCAACTACAATTCAATCCAAATCGGGCCACCCAATGAAACCAATACAAATATTAGCCACACGATCATTTCATTAAACTTAAGTGAAGTTACTATTCAGATAAATTATGTGGCAAATATGGAGGTTCACATCTATAGTATATATATTGCACTCTCACCATAAAACGACTTTACAAAATTGAGTCTATCGGGCCTCCCAACATATCTTAACTCACTGTTAAAAGTTAAGGTCGGCCTAGGTTTGCCGGTTAACCCATTTTGGCCCAACTTATGTAGGCTGAAAAGATTGCCAACCAAACTAAAGGCCCAACTTTCCCTGTGACACAAAATCAGAAGCAAATAAAATTGAAAAAGACTCAACCTAACGGTTGCAAGCGTCAGAGTTTAATTGGCCCAACACATAGGATCTAATTCTATCATTTCCACCTACATCATGTGTCCTCTTGTAGCAGGCAATTACTTTGCCAGAACTTCTAAAAAACCTACCAAATCGGAGATATCCAATGAGTTGGTGCCGCGTGTTGGGACTGTTTTGTGTTTTGTATCGAAGAAAACACGTTCAATATGTAAAGCATGCCCAGTTGCTCAAGAATGCATGTTCCAGAAACGCCGTGTATGGACAATCGACAATGGAGGAAATTTTTTACAAACCCATTTATTTAGACATAAAAATTATCATACTCATGCCATTATCAAATGGTATATATATATATATAGAAATTCTCTCATACGAATGTTCTGCCATGATTTGTAGATAAAGCCTAGAAAAAACTAAGTCACGGTTTTGCTCTGTTCAGTATTTTCTTCCAGAGTTTTCTTCAGATATAAAAACTGACAAACATTTCTATCAAGCACTGTAACCCTTGGCATCTGATGGATCCAGGTTCAGCCCCCTTCTGCTTAAGCACTCTGATTCAGTCAAAGCTGCTAGATTATGTCCCAATCTGATGAAACCTGGGCTGGCCCATTGCCTAGTAAGCAGAAAATTATGTGACTAGATGACAAAAATATAATTAAGAGAGATAATTAAGTGGCTGAGGGCAGAGATTTCCATGACTTAATATTTTGTCTGTTTAGATTAGTTTAAGGAGAAAATGTGATTAGGACCCATGTGGAAATGTCAACAACTTATGCAGCATGCAATTCTGCACATGCCCATCCATGTGAATGCATGGGAAGATTGGAAAAAAAATGAGGAATGAGACACCAGTCGCCAGTGTATATACCTAATGTGATAAAAATGATGACATATTTATCAGTTTGTCTATAGGTACTACCAGACTACCAACAGAAATATATACTAGTTTTCCTGAAGTAATTAACAAAGGGTTCAAAGTATTTTGGCTTTGCAGGGGGAGTAGGCCACCCACCCACCACCAGCCTTTTCTATCAGACTTTCTCACTCACTTAACAAAGCAATTTGCCTTTTGGATTTTTGCATGCTTCACTTGATCCAAGGCACCTAAATAAATCCCATTAGAAAGAAATTAGAATTATGAAATGCAATTGTGTTGTTGGGTTATGAAAAGATTGAATACCAATATGATTGTCTCTTGTTTCACATGAGATTCTATACATCATGATTGGATACACCATCATTGTTTTGACTGCTTTTTCTTGTGAGCGAGATCTCTCCTTTGACTCTTGGAGGCCTTTCTCTCTCTCTCTCCCTCTCTCTCTTTTTCACTGCAGACTTTGTGTCAGGTGTGCAATTCAAGGGAAGGCCACTGTTCTCCAAAAATGCAAGCTTCATCATTGAGGTTATGGGAATTTCCGTACGCTTCATGTTTTATCAAAAGCCTTAATTGGTTAAATTTGATTGAAGAAAGAACAGAAAAAACACTGCTTAAATCCAAAGTTTTCCACTTTTTTTCATGGCAAAGTGCTCTGTAATTTGCAAAAAGAGGTAACAAAAGGGATGAAAAGTTTAGAGCCAAAATGCTTTCATTTCAGTATCTAATCAGGCTATCAGATCAATCTTCAGTGAAAGCTTGTGTAACTGGGATTTTTCCTAGAAAACAAATGAGCAGTTTTTTTGCAACTGGTAATTTTGCAACATACTTGTTCAGGTGGAATTTCATGTGTCCCCAGGTCTCAATTTTCAAACTATTGATGATGGTGAACTCAGTAACTTGCCATTATTTAAGCACTTTTCTGGATCAAAAGGCAAAACAATATAATGAGACTAAACCAACTTTAATTTTTTGTGGTTGTGGGGAGCAAAATCAATTCCCAAACAGGTGAACAATCATGAAGTTTCACTGATAGAGATGGGACACCAGAAACACAAAAGCTACCAACACATGTATTTTACACAATTAATTAAAGAAAAGGTATTTCCATTCCATTAATGCTAAACTTGCCTTGTAATTGTGTTTATCCAAATAGGGTTAAAACAGAGCACTTAACCACGTGAAATAAAAGTCCTTGCACATCCCAAAAAACTAAGGAAAAAGAAAACCAGGGTTGAAATTCTGGATGAAACTGACATGAAAAAGATTGGATAAAGAATATTCCTCTCTCTTCATATCGCTCTCAACTAGCTAGTAGCTAGCTAGACAACAATCTACAAAAGGAAATTTGAAATAAACTGCAGCAACGAATCTAAGGATAGATATAGCAAAGAAAAATCAAATCTTACTGCACTCTAATAACTTTGGTCTCATAATCAGAACATCATGGTAAAACATCACATTAAGCTTGATAGCAACTGTTTTAATGGTTTTAATAATCTGATTAGTAATGTCAGGCTTTTTTTTTATATATCTCACACGCCCAATAGAGAGCTATATGCGCTCAGAGCTGCGGCTTGCATGGAGCCGATCTCCCATGAGCGTAAGATCCTATCGTCTATAGACATGACTCCATTTTATATGAAATAATGTAGGGACAAACGCGCTCTTAGGGTAGGGTTAAAACTACTTAAATAGCCTGATCGTTATGACTAAACTTTTTCCTTGTAATTAACAATTAAATTTTTTGTTGAAAATAAGCTCTTTCCAATTTCAACTAATTTGAAACCAATGCTGGAAAAACTTTATATATTATGCTTCTAGCAAGCTATGAGAAAGTGAGACAGACAGATAGAGAGACAGAGAGAGAAAGAAATATGGACCTTTGAATAAATAAAAAAGCCCGCTCATAAGTCACAAGTCATAAGTTTTTTATTTATTTTTTGTTTGTTGCCAAGGCTTACAAGTCATGAGTTGAAAACTCAAATAAACCCAGAAACCCTTTTGGTCCCAAGAATTCCAGAAAGTAGTTTTCATTTATTCTTTTTTCTTTGCTTGCTCAGCCAATAATACATGGACACATCATTCCCTAGAGCACATTTGCACCTGAGAATAAGATGATACGAGTTGAAATGTAATTACCATTTTTAGGTACCATGTTGAAACTGATGGCAGTTGTCTTTTGCTTCTTATTATGGAAACAATTACACAAGATCGGAATTCTATGTTTTTTCACTATATATATTTGTTTTGTTTCCCTCTTCAGCTGTAACATAAAGAAGCCATAAACCCATGTGTTGTCGGAAGGCCTAATTTTTATACAAAGTAACTTTTTGCAGGATCATCTTTTCTGATGAGGTTACAGTACACCGTGTGCGTGCGCGCACTAGCAAAACGAGGACCAGTTTTATTTGTTTATTTTCTGGAAAGATATGAGGTACGGATTTAGGTTATCTTTCATTTTACTGAGGGTTGGGTATTTTGGTACTTTGAATAGCAGAGCGAGAAGTGGTGCCAAGAAGAAAAAAACAGCCAGTGAGAGTGATATTTTGTATCTCAGACCAAAACGCAGGTGCATTAAACAAAAGTTCATTGACTGGCCACTGAAATTTCGGCCTCCAAAGAAAAGTACTGCCCTTCTTCCCAACTTCCATTTGAAATTTGTGACGAGATTTAATGGTGTTTGGTTTCAATATGGTTGCACTTGCAGGGCATTCTCCTGATAATATATTTTTCTTTATTTTATAATAAAAAAGCGATAGAATTTTATGAGATCAATAAGAATAAAGAATACAAGGGAAACATCGAGATAGAATTTTATGAGATCGATAAGAATAAAGAATACAAGGGAAACATCGAGTCATCTCAATAACAATACGACAGACATGGATAATATTTTAATGTACCGCATCCAATTTTATATTGACTTGGGCAAGGTGAAGGCTGTGTAGTTAAGTTTGTGAATTTTCCATGTACCTCCAACAAAATGAATGGCTAACAAACAACCCCAACTCTGTAACTTTCAGAAAATCCTAAATCACTTGCGCTTATTGCGGAGGAGATGAACTGGAAACAAAGCCATAAATTAAGCATAGAATTGATAATATCGTACATGATAATATTGTACACATAGCATCATCAAATGGGTTACTCAGTCCTAATTGAGTCTAGGAAAGGAAGGTGGAGAAAATTGGGTTAAATCTGCTGAATGAGTTGCATTGGCAGAGAAATAAATATGAGCTAATAATCTCATCTGGTGGAATGATCTTGTGGCTTACATTAATTGGATTAGAGTAGTTTTTAGAGGGCTTGTGGTGCTACAGCAGAGCAAAGCTCAATGGACCCATAATGAAGCAACTCCTCAATCATCTGCTCAATGTGATCATCTTCAAGAGGCTTGAACTGTTGCTGGCTGCTTTCTACTTTAACTTTACTGAAAACCCAATTCATCGTCTCTTCTGGTTCTTCTTGCTCATGACGAGTTTCTGGTTTTTTCTCTGGAAAGTTCACGCCCAGTTCAATGGCCTTCTCAGCATTGTCATTTTTTGTGTCAACGAAACAAGGTTGTGGTTTTTTAGGCTCCTGTAGGGATGTTTTGGTCATTTGGAGGGAAGCCATGTAGCATCTATGCAGTTTTGCTGTCAAAGTTGCTGACAGAAGCTTTGAGGCTGAGGACTGAGATGCGTTTGGGTTATAAGGGAAATTGGTCCTTGCCCTCGGTCCGCACATAAGCCTTGCCGCTTCATCATAAGCTCTGGCTGCGTCTTCAGCCGTTTCAAATGTTCCTAGCCAAATTCTAGTCTTTCTGCAAACACACACCAACAAAAAAAAAAACGTTTCTTTCAGTTTCCATGTTAAAATGCAGAAACGTGTATGTATGAACAATTATTAAACGTTTTGAAGCAAAGTTGGGGTGGACTTACAATAAAGGGTGGCGGATTTCAGAGACCCAAGAGCCCCAGTGCCTTTGTCGCACACCTCGAAACCGCTGTTGCGGTCTTGCCATTGTTGTGCAAAAGAAACGTTTTTTTTAGAAAGTGTTTGTGAAAATGCCTGTGTGTGGGTTTGGGGTGCAATGAAAGCTTTGAGAGAGGAATGAATGCTTATGCCAGTGGGAAGGTGGGGGGGAGGAGAGATTGGTTTTTGTAGTTGGGTTTTGCTGACAGATATAAAGACAATTTTGGAGGCTCTCCTTTTTTCTAACCCTCCCTCCTGGCAACAGATTAAGAACTTGGGTCCCACAAGAGTTTTGGCCCCTTTTTGAGTCTTGTTCACTCTATTTTTCCTGTATCTTATTAGTTACCAGTTGGCATGCAACTGATGATTATTGAATAAATATGTCAAGTGCAATTTCAAACTGGACCAAACTCAATTCACATGACCATGCTAATAATTTTTGTCTCAAAGAAAACATTATAAACTTTAGATTTATAATTCAGTTGCTTTTTGGGCCTTCTATTCTTCAAGAAAATCTAAGGTCACAGTCCCGCAGATTCTTCATGTGACTGAGTATGGTCTAAGCACAGGAGATGACAAACATATACATTTATTTATCCCAATAATTACAGAGTATTATAAGAACTGGGAACCTTTTTAAAAAAATAAAAAAAATTGGTATGAACATATATAATATTCATTATTGTAATTATAATTTTTTTAAGGAATCTTGGAATTTCAGTTTCATGTATTGGTAACATGCTCTGTTCTGAGCACTGATTGCTTCAACGCAATGATCAAAACAGAGGCTGCATGCTCTGTTCTGGATGGGTAAACAATTAAACAGTTAAATAACCATCGATTGGCACCAAAATGATTGGGTCAATCCTCATAATTACCCGAGCTAATTATTAATTAACAATCCCAATCACATAAACCAAATCTTCTTCACTATTTTAAGAATCAATTTACACTAATTAGAGAAATACCAACTTGATAGTTGTCATATTGATTGTACGGCTCTGTATCTTCATTGAAAAAAATATATGGATTAAAATAGGGTGATGATGCATGCAAAACAAGGTAGAAACAAATAGAATCAATGGATCAATCTGCAAAATAAAAATATGGTGGGGGTGACTGGTGAGGTCATGGTTCATGCCACTTGGGTTTTTGGCGTCGGGTGCCAAAATCGGAAACATTGATTGGCATATGGTTTAAAGTAAGAGCAGACAACCAAACAATGTCTGTTTTTGAATTGCCATGCCCAGTTTCTAAAACCTGGACCTTCCATGCTGAGATGCAGGGCAAGCTTGTGAGTTGATGACATGAGCTGCCAACTGCTCTTGCAGGTTTTCTGCAAAATATCCAATGGCTTGCACAGGACTAGGGTAAGATTAGTTTAAATTGTTTTTGGTTTTTTTTTATATTTTTTTACACGCGTTTATATGATCTTGTGCATGTGATGAGTATTTTTCCCATATATCTCTCATGCTGCAGCTATTTAGGACTTTTGTGTTTCCTTATTTGGAGGCATCAACAGTGAGCATGCCAATGGAAACCACTTGTTTAACTTGCAGATAACAAGTTTGCGTCCTCCAATTTACAATGTTGGAGTCAAGATTGTGTGCATGTTGACACGTGGATTGTTTAAACGGCAGATTTTGATGCTAGGAAGACCACATTTTAATGCTATCTAATGTTACCGTTAAACGTATAACGGCCATTTCGGACATGACAATAATATGTAATAACGAGAATGAATAAGGCCCAAAGAAAAAACGCTGCCGAACGAAAAGGTAAAAAAAAAAAAAACGTCATATCAGTAGGATTAATTCACTGGCAAATACATAGGCTTTTGAAGATTTTCTCAGCATGTACCAATTCTACTGCCCTAACGATTTTCCTAGAGCTTGTGTTGAAAAGAAGAAAGATGAGACGACATATTCTTTATGAAAAGGTCGAAGAAACTGCAGAAAGAGCAAGACAAAAAAGACAAAAGAACAAACAGCATGTAAGCATGTATCTCCCATAATCAAAAGATTAAAATCTTTGTCACAATCCTGGTTTACAGCTAACCTCCCCTTTAGACTGAAATCGACATTTTAATACGCGGGAGTTTGCGGGGCCCAGTTATAAAAGCGCGTGATGTGGGGCCCAAAGATACATATCATGAACATGGGTGATGAGAGCAAAGTTGAAGATGAAGCAGAAGCTTGTGGGGGTTGGATTGGATGTGTTTGTCGTGAAACAAACTGAAAACCTCCCACGGTTTTTAAGCCCCATGACTCGGTCCAGTCCATATCAATTGTCAATTTTGGACTAACACTCTCCAAGTCACATGCAAAAAACAATCCAATGTTTGATCCATTGAACAATTATTATAAAAGGTAAAGAAACAACAAAAATCATTCAGAAAATTCATGTGTTTGTTGGCCACAGAAACATTGAATTTAGTTTTTCTATCAATTCCAAACATTTAATGTGTAATCTCTTTTCATATGTTACTATCGGAATGACCGGTAATGCTACGACATTTGATATGACAATATTTTAATTAAATGATCTAAATATGAACACATTTGTCAAATACAAATTTTTTAAGTCGGGTTGAGTCTAATACTTTCAAATTTTGTAAATTTTAACGCGGTTACGTACGAGGAAGGAAGAAAGAGGTGAAGTAAGTTATGGTGATATATATTTTTTTTAAATCAAAAAATTAAGATGGATGTTGATAGGTAGAAATTTGTGTCGTCCAGCTTCAAGTTATGCCCGCAGTACATGGGATTTGTCACTCTACTATCATTTGCATGGCATGAAAAGGGACATATATGTCCATGACCATGACCATGACCGTGTTTATAACAAACACACCCACAATTAAAAATAGTAAAAAGGGGAATTAGAGATAAAGGCTAGTAGAGGACTAGCTAGGCAGTGTAATTTTGAATTTACCCCAACCCAATATAAGGATAAAACAAGAGCAGTTGCTAGATACAGTTGAAAATTTTGTGCAGATGAGATAAACTAGAATAGAAGGTATCTATAGACTTATTAAACTAAACTTGATAGATATTGGTGTATTGGCCCACACAAGTTAGTCAAAGCTCAAGCACATGCTGCTGTACTGTGTGAATTGCGTAGAAGGGAAATCAAGGCATGTGGTTCAATAGCTTCGATACATAGTCAATCAAATTTACAATTTTTGCTCTATTTTTTTCAAACATTTATTTTAATCAGGTTAGATCGCTTCGTTATTGTTGTAATTCTTTATGGCTAATTTGCATTCATCCTTTGTGACGGGTGATTTTTTTAGCTGAATTATGAATGCAATCCCATAATTTAAATAACAACCAAAAAACCAAGTTTGAAACTCTCGACCGTTCATTTGGACTTGATTGTTGGGCCAAATTGTGATTCACAGATGTGGGCCTTCGAATAAAAAGAATGCAGATATTGGGCTTCAGTAATAAGCAGCTCTTACTAGAGTTTTGGGCTTTTGAAATTGGAAACTATCCACAACTCAATATTCCAAGTTCCAACAATGGGAAGGCCTAAACAGTTGTGTATCCTTTTCTTTAGTATGTAATTTATTCGAGAGTAGCTAAATAGTCAAGTGCCTCTCAGATTATTTTCTCAACTTGGCAATGCCAGCATCAATTAGCAACCATTTAAAAGCTTTTTACTATTTCAATCTTAAATGAGATTGCGTGAACATGTTTTTATCTTTTCTTTTTCTTCTTCTTTGCTAATCTCATTGCCAGTAGAAAGTGGTAGACAGATGGTTCAGTACACGCCTGCTTGTTCAAGGTTTTGTCCTCCAGGTTAGCCTTTTATGTTTTGTTCATTTTGTAGGTAACCAAATGTGCTACATTCTGCCAATGGGGTTTAGCTGCGGTGGTTTTGGCCGCCGGGTTCGAAACCCCCCCTATGTAACCAAAAACAAAAAATGTGGTGCATTCTTATCATAGCTTTTGATTGTTTTGATAACTGAACTTATCTGTTAAGAAAAATATGGAGTTCGTTTTGCCAGTGTTTATTTTATTTTAAAGTGGGAAAAAATAACTCCTAACTTGAACCCTACAATGCATCAAATGAAAATACAAAGGCATGCAAAATGCTGTAACTAGGTTTCAGTTTCATGGTTGATCCCCTTTACCTTTTTTCTGTTGTTGAATTTGATATAATGATATCTTATTCGTCTTTGAAATTTTTGGGATTGCGTAATGCTACTACTTCAAGTGCCAGTGAAGCCAACAACACATTGCAACGTAATCAAGAAGAAGCCCTTGCCGCAATGTTGTTCCAGAAACTTATCATCTCTAGCCACCAATGCCAATCCAAACTATGATCAGAAGATCACAGTGACCACCAGAAGAAACCCTAGTAAAAGATTCAAGAAATGTTATTGCCAACCTGTTTGTTCTCAACATGGGGGTTATGCTTCATCATCAAAACCAGAGAATGAAGGTGATCATTTTCTGACTGGCCTTTGTAAACAATGGGATGCATTTCATCGCTTTTGTCGTCCTCACACTGTAATTGGCACTGTGAGTTCCACATGTTCCTTTCAAAATTTGATATAAATTACATTTGGATTGAACAGTTTAATTTTGAGCTTCACTAATTCACTAATTTTGTTTTGTTTTCAGGTTATAGGAATCTCATCGGTCTCTCTTCTTCCATTAGAAAATGTTACTGACCTGTCCTCTGCATTTTTCATAGGACTATTGAAGGTATATTAGAAAATTCGAAACACTACTGTTTGATGCCACAGGTAAAATGGGCTTCTTACATGTGATTGTTTTTTCAATGATTGATCATATCTCTCAGGCATTGGCGCCATCGATCCTAATGAACATCTATGTGGTGGGATTGAATCAATTGTTTGACGTCGAAATCGACAAGGTATAAAATTAAGTGAGACCAAATTGAAGGATGAAAAATACTGTGTATATATATAATGTTCATTAATTTTGTATCTTTTTCTCTTGCTTCTCAGGTTAACAAACCTGAGCTCCCTCTTGCTTCTGGTGAATTCTCTATGGGAACTGGGATCACAATTGTTTCCACGGTTTTGTTGATGGTAATCAATTGCCACTGATATGAGACCACCTAGTGTTTCTACAGTATAAATCTCTGTTACTCATTAGTTGTTGTCTGTTATTTTTCAGAGTATTGCCATGGGAGTTATGTTTAAATCTCCGCCGTTGTTTTGTGCCCTTCTCATCAGTTTTCTGCTTGGAAGTGTTTATTCCATTGAAGTGAGTTTCTTGTGCCTCTTCATATAGTCTCTTACTTTACTAGCCAAGTACCTACCTTACTCCATCCATCTTAACTTGTT